CTAACAATACAACATTTGTGATTGATAAAGATAAATATATGCTCACTTCTCCTTCATTGGAATTTCATTTTCATATAAATTGATTTATAATAGTCATTGCTGTTGTTGATTTCCTAGTTAATTCAAGGTGTGAGTACACAATTTGAACACGCATTTTAAACACCTATTGTTTCTTTTAAGCACACTCTTCATGCCTTAAAGTCAGTGCACATCCCTCCACAGGTGTAATCCACGTGTTCCTCCCTTGTGTCCCCTCGCTCATCATCCTGTACAGCTACCTCCTGTATAAACGGCGCCCTGTAATCAAATCTCCAGGAGGAGCTTCAGTCAGCCCACAGACGGGATGCACAGCTATCACCTGCCTTTCCTCCGGAGCTTTTTCTAAAATTAGAAAATTAATCAATCCCCCGCCCCCCTTTTTCTCCTATGCGCCCCTCGAGCCCTCGCATCACCCTTTAGCTTTGGGTGGTAGGTATACGCTTCATTCCCGGGTGGGAATGTCTGTTGTGCAAGAATTAGGCTTTTGAAGTAAGGAAGTTTTTGTTCATGAAAAGGGTCTTAATGCCCTATTATCCACATTCCTCACAATAATATCCAAATATTTCTTTCTTTCTTCTTCTTTTTTCTTTTTGTTTTTGCTTCTCGCCTTTTTTTGCTTAGGCATAATGAACAAGCAAATGCGCTCCCTTAGGCATAGCTCACATATGGCGAGTGTTATGCTATGCAAAGATGTGAAAGTGAAGGGGTGAGACCAAAGGGGGGCTACAAAGGGGAGAAAACACCACATCTCGACTGAGTTTTCGCAGTCGGTGATTGGACTCGATTCGTTCGTCATAGTTTACGCACAGGGTTCTGTGCGAACATGCGCTGCTCACTGCCTCCACACATCGGTAACGCCACACACTATGGATATGATTACTTACGCAGTCAAAAAGAAACAAACAAACAAAAAAACTTCATAAACAATGCGCTGTGCCTCTGCTCTCTGTGATTATTTGCGCTTTTTTGTTCTTTGTTAACTTTAAACAAGATGGTTTGTATTAACCTGCTGTAAATATGATTCGTTCTTAAACTATTTACTGATTGTAGGGGTAGAAATAATTCAGCCAAGAGAACCAGATTTCGTGCATTCTCGCGACACATTTAACGTGGGGCATGGGTACGCTGCATTGAACCATCTACACACCAATTTCCTCCATTCATTGATGCTGCATTTCTCCATAGGCTATAGGCGCAGCGCCGAGATGCATCCAACATCAATCACGTCTTGCACAGAACAGAGCGCACAGTCTCGCGTCTATCAGCTCTCTCTCTTCCTCTCTCACTCGTCTCGGGTGTGGGATATGCACTCTAATATCAAGTCAGTTCGTGTCCTTTCTTCGTAGTGTGTTAGTCTTTATTAGTCGTTTCGTTTTTTCCACCTAAAGTTTCAGCTGTGGACTTTTCAGCACCACTTTTCCGTGGACAGCGTTTCCGCCACTCTGAGCGAGTGGCATCGCGACGCAGACCTGGATTCCTCTTTGGATAATATTCACTAATAATGTTTAGATGCTGAGAAAGAATTGAAGCTGGAGGCAAAATTCTACGAAGAGTACAAGAACAAAGCACGATTTGTGCATTTGATTTGGATATCACTTACTGACAAGCAGCGGAATCGCGATGGGAGAGCGGTAAGTGCAGCCTTCTCTGCAAAAAAAAAAAAAAAAAAAAAAAAAAATGGACTCAAGTTCTTTTCAATTACTGGAGCGTTACAATAATGACAACTGAGCACGTCAACTCATTGATATTTCTTTATTTTCACATTATATACATATCTCTTCTGTGTATGTTGTATATTAGAAAGTATACCCACCAATAAGAAATGCAACGCCCTGGAATAGGTGCATTGATTGTTCTTACGCGTCAAGGCGCAGCGTTTTTGTGCGTGGAGCTGTGTGCCTCGCTGCGCTGCACCGATAGGTCTGAAGTCTGTCTCTCTAAAATGTGACCCACTGTAAAAACTGTTGCTATACGTGACTTTAATCTAACAATGGCTTAGTCACTTATAGCGCAGATAAGATGAGGACCACTGACAACACTGCCTTTATGCATCCAGCGTGGAAGAGACTGGAACAGCCGCGTATTCTTTCCCCTGACTGCCCCCCACGTTCATCCCCTCAGCTCTGACTCTAGTTGAGTCACGTACAAAGGGAGCACCCCGACTGGCTGGCGTAGGTACAGGGTTCGTGTTGTTCTATGCAAAATGTTGATTGTCCATATAGTGTATATTGCAGACGACGTGCAGGAGATGTCGGAGACGTTGGAGAGAAGAGACGCATATTATAACTGCTGATGTTTGTACCCCTGAGCTAACTTTAATAGTCGTAGACACTGGAACTTCAAACTCGGTAATGCGCTGACACACGTGTATATTATGGTCTCTTTGCAAGGTGCTTGACTCAGTCTTATCAGTGTCCTCCTTAGTTGAGTCTTGACTCCTGGAGTAGAAGTTTCCAATATCATATGATCGAGGAATGTGCTAACAAAGCCATGTTTTGGAAGTTTTAAACAGTCATTTCATTATTCAGTTTATCTTGTCGACTCTATTGCATTTGCCACTAGATGGAGTAGTAAGCAAGACACCCCAGTCTTAAATAGCAAATTACTTCCTATCACTACCACTTTGGGATATGTTCTGGTTATGTCATATTCTGGAGATAAATGCAAGCCCTCAAAACGTCACACAGTCACAGAAAGTTACCTCTTATTTAAGAATAACATTTTTGTTTGAAAACTGAGTCGTGAGATAGAGAAGAGGTTGGTGAGTTGGTGAATGGTATTGTACAGAAAGTAGCATAAGATATGAATGTTTGTGCACCCTAGCAAATCGACATCATTTTCAAGGTATACTCATGGCTAAGCAATTTTTCTAATCTTCAATAAACGGGTAGTATCTACAGTAAAATCAATTTTTATTCATTTTATTGTGATTTTTAGATGCTCTTTCAGCTACTCTCACACTGTCAAACCTTTAACATCCTATTATAACAGAATTAGTTCAAACAGATGTGATGAATGGTTTCCACTGGTATGGCAATAAATGCAGTATATGTCAAGCTAAAAAGTGTATTATGTTCCAAAAAGAACTTACAAGGTGAAGAATATTCATCTTTGCTGTAATTATCCAGAGGGCAGTCTGTGTTGTTTATTGTTATCCCAGGTGGTGACCTTTTCCGCTGCACTGTAAAATCTCTGGCACTGCGTATGGTCTTGGCAATGGATAGAGAATAAATAATTAAACTACCTCTACTTCTCATTTTATTCAGTTTTTAATTAGTGTTTTGGAGTTTCAGACCTATTTTAATACCATAATGAGCATTATTTTTATTGTTTATTGGTTATTCCATCATGGTCCTGTATCCTTAGTCCAAATTTAGTCATATAACATCTATTGTCTATCAAAAGAAAATCCAATATAACTGGATAAAAGTTTTGTCCGGTTGACAGAAATGAATTTTCTTTTGCTGTTGTTTATGGTTACTACCTGGACAACTGAGGGATTACACAGACATCTATTGTCTAATATTGCTCTTGCTTGATCCTTGCTGTGGTCTGCTTTTTTGATGTTCAACAAAACCAGATATTGACCAATTCTTTGAGGTGAAACCAGCTATGAACAATAGCTAATGACAATCAAAGATTAATATGAATAAAGTGTCGTGCGTACACATTGAAAAGACTGCAGCTATTCCCCCTTCTCCCTATGGCCCCTTTTATTAACAGGGCCAGAGATTAGCTTTGTGCTATCTTAACTCTCATAGCTTCAATTCGACGTTGGGGGTGGTGAGGGTATTACAGCCCAAATATGCCATTGTCTGCAATCCCTATGAACTTATACAGCCAAGGGGGGAACTGCTCCTCATATCAGACAGTAATTATGTGAAAACTCTGACACAGCAAAAAGCCAGATTTTAATTCAATCTTGTCTAGGCATTTGTGTTCCCACGAGATCGAATTAATGTCTTAGATTGGTAGGGCTATGGCTTGTTTCTGTGTTCATCTCAATGACAGATAGCCTATGTGAATCTAGCAAAAATGAGCCCCTGAAAGAAATCTTTCACCCCCAGAGAGAGATTGGCTGGGCTGTAGCTTTGCCAAGATTGCATGTTGAGGAGAGAGAGGTGCTGGGGACATGTTTAACCAGCCTTACACTTACTTTTCCCCGAGTCTTTGTCTGGCTTATCTTGTCGTCCAAGTTAGTGCAGCAAGCGCACACTCAGCAGAAGACCCCCTGCTTTGCCCACATGTAGCTGGATTTCCTTTCATATGTCATGGAATAGCTATACAGCAAGTAGGAAGTATTGTAGAGGCTAGATGGGAGAAGCAATTCATTTTCATTTGTTTGTAAAGTACATTTAAGAACTGTAATTTACTCTCACATTTAAGTATGAGTTAACAAGCTTCTATACAACGTTTTCTGTATTTTATATATAATATATTGTTT